TTCGGCAAATATTGAAAAATGAGCTCAGGGTAAAGACATTGAATTTCCAAAAAGTGCAAGAACTTACACCGCAACAGAAAGAAAATAGACACAAAAGAGCTAAAGTGTTGCTTCGCTTGGCCGAAAGTGGTGAACTGCCGAATTCTGTTTTCTCCGATGCGAAACATTCGTTGTCCAGCAGTTTGTAAACAAATAAAATGCCAAAGAGGTCAGCTGAAAATGTGCACCTTCGGTTGGCCACCAGAAGCCGATGGTAGCTCTCCGTCTGTATTAATCGACCGTAGCATCAGAATAAATGCCGAATATTATCACGAAAATATTCTGGAGGGTGTATTAAAGCCGTGGGCACGCAAACATGTTGGCCGCAGACTTTGGACATTCCAACAGGACTCAGCACCATAGCAATCGGCACGCGCCACCCAAGAATGGTTAGAAAATGTGGTCCCTCGCTTTATTTCCAGCGCACTATGGCCACCAAAATCTCCGGATACCAATTCATTGAAGTGTTGTATCTGGAGAATTTTGGAAAGCAAGGTTGGCATTAAAAAATACCATATTGACGATTACCTCAAGCAAGCGCTTCGCCGAGAATGGGCCAAAATACATCAGAGCAACATTCGGGCAGCGTGTGACGGTTTCATTGGCCGTTTGAAGGCTATAATTCGTGCTCAAGGTGACCAATTCGAACAAATCTAACCATATTCCAAAATTTGATGCTATTTCCGACATTTTTTGCTTTCATTCAATAATTTTTTTTTTTTTTTAAATGAAAAAATTATGTCGTTTGACTTTGTTGCAGTTTTTTTTATCTCACCCTGTATACATATTGATCTAATACAATATTGCTCTAGAACTTGAATTTTAGCATTTCGAAACTGAAGTATTTAAATTTAGAATGCGATTCCGCCTAGAGTAAATTGTTATATAGTCAATATAATAAAAAAAATAAATTTTTATACTTAAATTATTTCTCCAACAAAACATAAAAAAATCCTCTGGAAAAAATTCAAATATGTCCTTTCTATGCAGCAATCCAAAATGTTTTTCCCTAAATCATACTGCAAACTAGTTTGACAAAAATTGCCACACCGAATTCTAAACATTTATGGCATTTTTGCAATTTAAAAAATTGAAGTATGTATCATCCTAGATATATGCTATAAATTTTTGATGTTCGTCTATTGCCTTAAACCATACAATTTTTTTCTGTCGAAAAAAACATGTTTTTGGTCATTTATTATTTTACATCAATTTTGTTTTGTTTTTAATTAAAATTCCATTTGGCTTGATTAAATTTACAGAAAAATACCATTTATTGAAAAGTGTTGCAATTAAAAATGTTATTTGTATGTGTGAGTTTTTTTGTGTTTTGGGATAAAACCAAACATTTTAAGAGGAAATTATATTAAAATAAATATGCAAATGTTCCATTTCATTTCATTTTTTTTGGTTGTTATGCATGACCAGTGTTAAAAAGGAAATAAAAACCATTATTGAATTAAATGCACATTGGTCACGTTCCAGGCATGATATCACCTACAACAATTTTTTCTTTTTCCTGTTTTCTACATATATATGCAGATCATATATGTGTGGATATCTTACAGGAGTTTGAAGAAGAAGAAGAAACTTATTTTATGAACATGAAAAATAAATATAAATATATAAAAATGTAGAATGTTTTGACTGATGAATGATATAATTACATATGTGTCAAAGGAAAACAGAATTAAACAAAGAAAGAAACAAACTTCAAACGCCTTTGTGTATTGATATCATAATCAACGTCAACTAACATTATAACGATGACAAATTAATGCAAATGAGTAAAAAACACCTTTTAGTTGTTTATACATTCATGTTTCTTTGTTGCATGCATGTGTGTGTGGACAATTTCAAAGGTTCTATTTCAGACAAAGAATATTGAATTTCTGTGCAGTGTTTGAAAAACCGATGACTTTTTTATTTTTTTTTTATCAACTGATTCATAATAATCTACAGTAGGTCAAAAGCGATGGTACATCCGACAAGAATTTTAATAGACAAAAACAGTTTAGTTTTTAATTTCCCATACAGTATATATTTTAAATATTATAGCATTTCGTTTAAGTTTAAAATTTTCTGGGTGCACTGTAAAGTATGCTACACAAATTTTATTTATAAAATTCGAAAAAAATACTTTACTCTAACACGATATGAAAACTGGCCCTTAGGAATCATCTATAAATGTGTATTCGCAGAAATCTGGCAACACATTATTTAAGTCTAGATTTACACTATGCAATTAAAATTGCCGTAATTGTAAGTTAGTTGGTGAAAGAGGTTGCTGAAAAATGAGGGGGTCTCTATTTACTCTCTTAGAATTTATATAACAAGAAATTTCAAACTAAAATGTAAGAGTGTGTGTGCACTCTCTATGATGAGCACTGCTATCTAGATCAGGGCCAGCAAGAATAGGCACTCGTGCCTTAATATTTCGGGCTATTTGAAAACAATATAATCAGAGTAAAAAATGGGGAGAACATAAATAAGCAACCATTACAAATGGAATGATTTTGGCCGTGTACACCAGCGCTTGCTAACACACCGCCCATGTGAAATTCAACACATCTCACACACAATCTTAGATTTGTGTATATAACTTACCATCGATCGGTAAGCTTAACACACAATGTTTACTGAGAGAGGGAGAGTTACTCTCTCGATGTTCACGTCTGTGAAACAATCAAAGCTATTGTGTTGGCAGTGGTTGGCTAGCCCTGGTGTACACGCTCACATATACTTTCACGGTAACTTTTGCTCTTTTGGTAAAGATAGTAAGCGTTTATGAATTACGTAATTTTTCATCGACTGGTCGACCAAAACTTGAGCTGTGTGTGCGCTCTCTTCCTGTGCTTGAGGACGCTAATTTGACGAGCACTATTCTCACATTAATATTTTCCTAGTATTTCCTACCTCTTTAAAAATGGAAACATTTGCTGCGTTTACATCGTAAACAGGCGGCATAAACCTATATTTTTGAATTTGTGGGAAAGAAGAAAGTTAAATGCCCTCTGCCCCCCACCTACCAATATTCGACATTTTCATGATTTCACCGACATCGTTCATCGGAATTGTATCACATTTCATATTTAAAGTTTCTAATGAGTACTACGGCCTATGAGGAAAAACATATATGTATATATATATATATATATATATATATATATATATATATATATATATATATATATATATATATATATATATATATATATATATATATGTATATATAAATAAACTGTCCCAACTTGATTAAATGGCTGAATAAACAATGACGCTGAGCGAACTCGATTCAAAGAAGACAATCACGGTTGTGATTGCTCATTTACATTCATGTGTTCGATCAACTCATGTTGATGAACACATCAAACCGTCTCGAACGCTCATGTTTGATTGTGAGTGAAGTGATTCAAATTGAGCGTTCGATTCGATCAGAAGCGAAAACGGTCATTTCATTCAGATCAAACTAAACGACTGCATCAACAAAAATCATGTAAGAAACCGAGTATGCTTGAATTCTTGCATACTCGTTGCAGCCCTCTGGTGGGGGGCTATACGAAAACCTAGATCTGCATAGGCAATTTTCGATCACCGGCTGTAGTACCCATTAGGAACTTCAAATACGTAATTTGATACAACTCCGGTAAATAATGTCGCCAAATAATGAAAATAGCGAATATAGGGAGATACCGTTATATTAGGGGCTATACGAAGACGTGGTACTGTATGAGCAATTTTCTGTGATGCCCATTCGGAACTTCAAATTCCAAATTTGAAACATTTCCAATGAAAAGTGTGACACATATTAAAAAATACCGAATATGTAGAGGTACAGTTATATGGGGCCTATACGAAAACCTGTACCTGTATGAGCAATTTTCTCTCATAGGATGCTGCACCCGTTAGGAACTTCAAATTCCAAATTTTAAACATTTCCGGTTGAAGTGTGATATAAATCATCAATATTCCTAATATAGGGAGGTTTCGTTATATGGGAAATATACGAAGACGTGGACCTGCAATTTTCGGCCACCTTCTGTAGTACCCATTAGGAACTTTGAATTCCAAATTTGAAACATTTCCAATGAAAATTGTGACACAAATCATCAAAATACTGAATATGTCAAAATATGAATATATGTATAGCGGAACTCCCCGTTATATGGGGATCCACGAAAACATGAACCTATATAAGGCATTTTCAATACCAAAATTCCTGCAGACATGTTGATCGACTTACTTCATTTCATTCGGAAGCTATAGTGGTTGGACGGACGGACATCTCTAAATGGATATATTTCGCGGTGCTTTAAACGGAATGATAAACTGAATATACGCTTCATACTATGGTGGAGGGTATAATGAACTCTGATGCATGTATAGATATAACAAAAAAGGTGGATTTCAAATATCATTACCATTGCGCACTAATTAAATCTTAAATCTAGTAGATATAATTTGGCAAATACTCAATTTTAATTCAAATTAACAAAATATGGAAAATATAGTTTAAAATTGTTCCAATTTTTTTCTCAAGCAAAAATCCTTTTTCCTAGTTATAAAATGAATGCGGCGAATTAAACCACAAATCGACACGTTCTGGTCATTTATCATTTGAAATAATATCCTGTGTTTTTCGCCTACGCCTGTTTTGTATGCAAAACAAATTTTCCATAATTTTGTAATAACTGTCAAAAAATGCCGTTGATCCCAAAAAACACAACGACTCACAAAGAAATGATTAATTCTCGACAATGGAATTTTTTTTAATATTCAGTCCAGCCATACAAAATAAATTATATTTTGCAAAGATAAATTCAAATGTTGATAAATATGCCAAATATGTATGGAGGGAGGAAGACATTATTGTGTATGTATGTATTTACATACAAGTGATAAATTCTCGAGTGTTGGCTTAAAATTATTCATCCTTGCGGTGGTGACTTGTTTATACTTACATTGGAAATGTTTTGCTGTTGATTCCAAAACGCCACGTAAACTCTTGGTATGATGATGCAATGAACGTTCAAAATCGGCTGAGGCAATTTTCTTTAATTCATTTTCTGTGGAATTTGTACAGCAGTGACCTCCACATTGGGCACCTAAAAAGAAAAGGAGAAAGAAAAAAAAAAAAAAAACAAAGAATGAGTAAACACACAGGTATGAGTAAGAGATAAGAGATTGGCTATCTATTATTGAGTTGTGGTAAACACATTTTTCAAATTAGTTTGCAATGCAACCAACACCGAAACTCAACACAATGACAAATAAATGTACTGTCGTTGATTTTATTTATTTGTTATTTTTCTTTTTTTTTTGTTTCTTTTGGCCCCAAGATTGTTGACAATAGTCTTTTATTGTATTTGGGGATTCCTCACCTTAACGCTGTGGATTACGTCAAGTCATGGCGCAAAAAAAGCGATAGAGAAAATCGAAAATCTATGTCAAGGTAAGTTCTATTCGTATCCATTTTTTGTTGAGCATTTAGTCATGTCGTGTGTACGAGTCCTGGCAGCGGGCCAATACAATGAGGTTATGTGTTATATCGATTGCAGTGGGTGTTGTGAACGTCACTTACAGGCATTCGTACTATTCGTACCTTCCTTCCAGAAATGACAATTGATGCTTGCGATGGGCGGATTGGGGAAATGCCATGGCATTGGTCTTTGAAAATGTTTTATGAACTGTAACCAAGTTTTTCATGTATATTGTGGTCAATTATTCAAACGCGTTTGCATAAAATATATGTGTATGCGGGTATCTGTGTGGTTTACTGGCCGAGAGTTTATTTGCAATAATTGCATATTAAATAAATTGCGGTTGACCTGTGGGAGACCATAAATCCAATACCGTGGTGGGTTAAATAGGCTGCTGCGTTGAAGTTCGTTATGAATATTATAATTTTTAAATTTCCATTTCATTTAACAATACTAAAGTCCAACAAATTGAATGCAACACTGAGTGAGTGAAATATAAATTGTTGCATACATTTAGGTGTGATAATTAATTTAATTGGTTTAAAAATCGAGTTTTTTTCTTTTATATTTTTAAAAATGTATAAAATGTTTTGTTGTTGCAAAATGGTCAGGCTTAATCCCTTTATTGTTGTTTTTATAATAAAACAACACTTGTTTATTAGTGGAGAACGATGGTAATGTTTACCAGGGGGTAAGGCAGGGAATACCAAGGTTTCGAAAAGAGCCACCAATGCTCATCAGTTCTCCAGTTTTTTGTCTGGATTGAACTGATGAGGATTGGTGGCTCTTTCCGAAACCTAGGTATTCCCTGCCTTACCCCCTGGTAAACATTACCATCGTTCTCCACTAATAAACAAGCGTTGTTTTTTTTTTTATAAAAATAACAATAAAGGGATTAAGCCTCACGATTTTGCAACAACAAAATACTATGGTATCCCGAACAAACAAGCCAACACTGTTGTAATGTATAAAATGTTTGAAAAAACAATTGAATAGGTTATGACACAGACATAATCGTTAGAGTAACTTCGATGATAAGTGTTGCACATTTTATACGGAAATCTCATATTTTGATCAGAATACGAGCTCAAAGGAGCTACAGATTTGATTTAGTGTTCAAATTAGGACCATGTTTATCTGAATCGATTTTCACTAAATTTGACGGTGTTTTTTATTTGCCGTATGTGACCTCTCGTCATAAACATTTTTGGAGCAGGGTGCATATTATGACTCTTGAGAAGACTTAAATTTAAAATCCAATGAACATATCAATATTCATGACACAATTGCAGAAGGTAGAACTAAGCTATGGCTCGTGAGCTGAACATATCGCAATATTCCATTCGGCAAATATTGAAAAATGAGCTCGGAGTAAAGGCATTGAAATTCCAAAAAGTGCAAGAACATACACCGCAACATAAATAGAAATAGACTCAAAAGAGCTAAAGAGTTGCTTCGCTTGGCCGAAAGTGGTGAACTGCCGTAGTTGGTTTTCTCCGATGATGGTTTTTGACCTTTGGTTGGCCACTAGATCTCAAGCGCCGACCATGGTGATGGTGTGGACCGCCATAACAGCCGATGGTCGCTCTCCGCTCGTATTAATCGACCGTGGCATCAGAATAAATGCCAAATATTGTAGCGAAAATATTCTGGAGGGTGTATTAAAGTCTTGGACAAGCAAACATTTTGGCCGCAGACATTCCAAGAAGACCCAGCACCATCGCACATAGCACGCACCACCCAAGAATGGTTACAAAATGAGATTCCTCGTTTCATTTTCATCGGGCAGCCTGTGACGGTTTCATTGGCCGTTTGAAGGCCATAATTCGTGCCAAGGGCGACCGATTCGAACAAATCTAAACTTATACTTAAATTTGATGCTATTTCGGACATTTTTTGCTTGCATTCAATAAAATTTAGAAAAAATTGTAAAAATGATGGCGTTTGATTTTGTTGCAGTTTTTTTATCTCACCCTGTACACTATATGTTATAAATTATTATTGATACACATGTACTTCATTTCATGAATACTTTTAGTTTATTTATATAAATTTATATATTTATATTTATATAGTAAAAATGGATTCAAAATTCTGGGGAGCGCTTAAAAGTATGCCACAAAAATGCTACAGAGAACAGTTGAAGAAGTCTATTTAAATATGACTCTAACATCTAGCCTTTAGTTATTTTCCGTTAATTTCAGAAATTTGAATTGTAACGCCATAACCCAATATTTTAATATTACTTATCAGCAAAAATTTCCATAAAGAACCATCAGCAAGTTCCTATTCTTTTCCATGCTTATTTTGCTTTTGTTGTATTTTCTTTCCAATATTTTTTCGTTATGTAGATGTTAGTTAGTTTTATGGTTCTCACTCGTATTTGTAATTACCGTCCCTTTGTTGTTTACAGGCATTGGCTTGTTTGTATAAACGCCCTGAAGAACAGATGTGGTTGTCATTCCATTGGAATATTGTAGAATGAGTTAAATTAGGATTCCCGAAAAATGCATGTATATATGAGGAGCTATAAATACGAGTGAGTAGAGCTGTGTACTAAGTAGACTAAAAGACTGTGTAAGCATTGAAACCAGCGACTACGAGGCTAAAGTTGCACCCAAATTACGTGACAATATATTAATTTGTACCATATGTACTACAAAGCGTTTAGTTTTAGTTTAAAATTGTGGTAGCGCATAAATGTATGCTATAAAAAAGCTTACAATAAATGCCGAAAATTACATTATATATGACTCACATTTTGTATAAATTAATCTCAAAACGATAGAAAGCAACCAAAAATCTATTCCAAAGCATTTCCTTGTATTGGATCGTAAAATCAGCGAAAACCCTAAGCGATGACATGATATGGTTACATAATATCTATTTTCTACTACCAATGATATCTATTGAATCAAAGCAACAATGAAATGTCCCATCTTATTACATTATTTGGCTTTGCTATCCTTACCATAAATTTATTAATTTATGCTAAGCGTCTCTTTTTTTGTTTCAATATTCTGAGAAACGTCTAAATGTATGCTTTAAAACGGGTAAGGATAAATGTGGGAAGAATATGACTTTACATATGACTCTAACATAGTGTGTAATCTGGCCTTAAGCTCCAATTCACATGTGTACATTTTGTCGAGAAGCAAAGTTAGTTATTGGAAAAGAGCGCTGGAGAACAAACTGACATTTGCCTCTTTTAATTCCCCTTTTTTCATTTGCTTAAGTTTCTTAGTCTGTTAAGGACGTTTTCCAAAGAATGTTCTGACAATCTACCAGAAACTGCATAGAATCTTATGGTACATATTTGAAAAATGTATAGTAGATTCAAGTATTTTTTATTTTCAAAATCCAAGTTTATTGTTAATTTTCAGGTTTAAATTTAAGACTTCGGTCGTTAACTCCAGTACCTTTGTATTCAATGCAAACAGCATAAATCTTACAAAACGTTGCAACACGACAAGACTATCTTAGCTGTTTGTGTTCCTTCTTGATTTTCACAGTTATATAGTTTTGAGGTCATTTATTGTCGTTGTTGTTCTTGTCAAGGCTTAATGCATGGACTTCAGACATAGAGAGTATAACGCGACATATTATAGATCTCATACAATAGACAACACTTCTTGTCGGTATCAAAAGACATCAAAGTGTGATGATGTTGTGTTGTCTCATATCATCATTATTATTATTGTTGTTGTTCTTGTTGTCAGACATTATTGTTGCAACATAGACATATTTGTTTGTTCCTCTATTATATGGTGTATATATGCTTAAGAAATATGATTAATTATATGATAAAAATAATAATAATGTTGAAAGAAACCATTTTATTTGTTGTAGTTGCTCTTGTTGTATGTCTGGAGTTCTTGTCTAGTCTGCTCATTAGTTTGGCATTAAAAACGCAAAAGAAGAATATAACAGTTTTTTGCGTTATGCATAGAACTTCCTATTCAAAATACACATAAACAAGTTAAAAAGTATCAGTCGGTATTGCCGACAGATGTATAGCCTCAACCAGTGTTCGATTGTATAAATATATTTTGACTTGTGTTATGATTATTCAAATTACTGACCCGCTATGGAGTTGTTTCCGAAGGAATGGTCCATTTCGTATCGGACCTAAATAAATATGATATAAACATTGGCACGTTTGGATTTCCTTCACTTAATATGAGATATGTTATAATTTTTAGAAAATGTTAGAATGTGCGTAATGTATCAGATATAGTCGACCGAAGTATTCCATTTTCATACTTCATCTAAAACAGACAAAAATATTGGTATGGGCCAAATTACATGAAAAATCGAACATTTATATCCAATTTTATCCCAGATTTCTTGTTGAAAGAAATATTTAGATATAGCAAGTTGTAAAGAATCGGTGACATGTTTCGCAAGTTATGACAGATAAAAATATTGATAATTGTGACCCTTTGTTGGCGGGGTACCAGAAGCGGCTAGCAGATATATATCATATTTACAACAGATCTTGCGTTAGCAAAAATGTTTGTAGGTATGAAATTTGAAGAGAGTTTGATGCTTATATCGTTTTTCATTTGACGATTGGTTTTTCAAAATCTTTGGGGGAGGTACCCGAAGAGATGGTCCGATCTCTA